AGTTCCATATATAATTATATATAATTATATGCAAAATATGTCCATATATGTTTCTTTTCTTTGTAAAATTATTCTTTAATACAAAATTGATAATAATAAGAAGGAAACATAAAAAATAATTAAAAAATTAATTATTACATTGTTTTTTTTTACAAAAAATCAAGTTTGAAGAAAAGAAAAATTGTTCATATATAATTATATATGTATATTTTTAATCACTTGTAAATGATTATATATGAGCAATTTTTCTTTTCTTCAAACTTGATTTTTTGTAAAAAAAACAATGAAATAATTAATTTTTTAATTATTTTTTATGTTTCCTTCTTATTATTATTAATTTTGTATTAAAGAATAATTTTACAAAAAAAAACATACATGAACATATTTTGCATATAATTATATATAATTATATATGGAACTTTTTTTCCCGGGTATACGTATGTGCAGACAATTTATAATAAGCAATTACATCAGAAATTTTCTTTAGTGATTACTCCTACGAATAATTGTTACTAATAAAACGTTTTATTCGATTTACACATTGATTTACTGTATCGAATCCATATTATTACTTATATATCTGTTTTTATTACTTATGAGGCACTTTTCTCAATTCGGTCCTGGATTTAACATGGATGCTCACGTACATACATATATACATGATCCGCAAAAGGAGATCAAAGGTGCCGATACAAAGTGTACCTACTGCAGGTTAATTGTGATTAAGTTAAATATATTAATTGCTCTGAAAGAAATCCTTTTTCTCTGTTTATAATGATTTTGAAAAGAACAGTACAGGTATATTGCGCCTAGGTAAACACTAAACATGCGGTTTTATTTCTAGTATGTATAATAAAAAGCTATAATACACATAATAAAATAAATAACAGCGCGCAGCATTATGAGATTTCCCAACTATGAAATACCTTAAAGATATAATAACTCCCAAAATTGGAATCTGAGATAAATAAATAGAATATTTAAACAGTACAGTTTTGTTTAAAAATTAATTTAAAAATCTAATATTCAAACGCGATTTACATAGAGACGTAGACGTATAAACGTAGGATTACAGTATAATCAGTAAGTACAGTCGTGGACACATTGGTTGCAATACTTTTTTTTATAGGTTTCTAATATATGTATATTTAATAACATAATATACAGGGTGTCCCAGAACTGGCG